GATATCAAGGTAGTTATACAATCTTCAGGTACTTTCATTTTATAATATTTTCAGGGTGAAGAAAAATCTGATGATTTTTGATCATCGCCTTTGAGACAGAAACATGTTTATTTGTCAAGATACTGCTTTCCAAAAGCGATCATTTGCTATGGACATATTATAAAAATCGAGTTTAGTTGAAATTGAATTTATTGGTAAGTAAACATTTTTATTGCGGCTGAAGCTTTCAGAATATTCTACAAGTCGCTGGACTTGTCTATGGACAGAATATTAAATCAATATCCTACTTTTGTTCATTTTTCGTAGGTATGCAAAACTAGCTTGTTAATTGAATAAAATAATCATAACTTGACTCCAATGAGTCATGAGAACGAAATCCTTTATACTTTCATTACTTCTACTAACAGACTCTTGTAGATCTAAAATGAACTTGAATGATATTTATCAGTTCGAATGACTCCTTCTTATGACGTCGCTTGTGATTTGAAATCAATTCAAGCTCTACGTTTTTCATACTGAGGTAGTTTTAGAGTTCGTCTTTGAAATCTTTCAAAAAACGATTTTCTTGCGAAGTTGAATGACATCATCGGTATGATAACATGTCAATCTCGTTCAATGCATCAGACTGATCTTCATGATTAGAGAGTAATTCATTGAAGTTACTAATTTCTGAAAAATTTCAATCTGAAGAGATTACGTAAAAGGCTAACACGCATCATCATAGTGAATCTGCCAGTAACAGTAACATGAAAGTTCTTTCAGAAAGCCCTTCAAACATCTACGGCATAAACTTAAGGATTGGGTTAAATTCGTCGGCGAGACTGACACTGGTTATTCGATCCCAGTAACTATGATAAATATCAAATGTCGTCTTCATACCTAATACCTACACAAAACAATAAAGATACTTTGAAAGTCAAAAGAATGTAAAAACTTCACTTTTCATACGATAAATCACATAATGAAAATGGAAGCATCGAGCAAGAAGATGATGATTTAAATGCGTATATATCGGGTGTCCCAAAATGTTTGCACACTTTTTATTTTGCATATATCTCAGCATAGATACTTGAGAAAAACCTTGATTTTTTACCAAAAGATGCGCCGTAAAAAGCTCTGCAAAAGTGGTAGTACCAAATCCCTGAAATAGTATCGTTTCAGCGAAAAGCATTTCAGCGAATGACTTTTTCAGCGAAAAACGATTTAGCGAATATAATTTACAGCGAAAAAACATGACAGCGAAAAAAAATAATAGCGAAAAACTAATTAGCGAAAGAGCAAAACAGCGAAAAATAAGACATAGCGAAAAAACTTTCAGCGAACTTTTTTTCTTGGTGAGCTTCATCTACCGATCTATGAGAATAATTCATCGTGGTTAATATATTTACAAGTAACCGTCCTTGTTTATTCTTTCCTTCTCTGTTGTATTTGTACGGACGAAATAATCGACTGTTTTCTTCTCTTTTATCATACGCATTCTTTTATAGATCATACGTCCGTACTACGTACATCATTTTATATATTTAACTAAACTAAGTATGACTGATCCACCATTGATCTCTTTGACCACTTCGAATCGAGGCAAGCCTTTGCTCGTTTACTCAGGATATATTCATGGACTTAAAAAGTCGACGAATAAAGTGAAATATTGGGTTTGTCATAGTGATGGCTGTTTGGTCACCATTCACACAAACAAAAACGACGAAATTCTTAAAGCTAATGGTCATCATTATCATATACCTGATTCAGAACAAATCGAACTTCGAAACTTAAGAAAAAAAGTGAAAGATAGAATACAATCTGAAACTAATTCTATACCTAAAACATATGAAGAAGAATTAGCTCGCTCAAATCTATCTGCAACAGCTTTAACTCTTGCACCTGTTGCTGTTAAAATTAGTAAGTTTATCATCAATCGAAACATCCAATACCTTTTGTTTATATACAGTCGGTTCTTAATCGTGTTCGTCGAAAAACAACTCCAACTCTACCAACATCAGCTGATTTTGATATTCCTGATTTTTATCAACAAACACTTAACGATGCACAATTTATCTGTACCAACAAGATAATCAAAAAAAAAGAATGATTTTGTTTGCAACCGATAAACAGCTTGAAGTATTATTCTCGTCTGAATGGATATTTCTTGATGGTACATTTGATAAATGTCCTAAACAATTTCAACAAATTTATACAATTCATGGTTTAAAATTTCAACAAAGTGAGATCATATATTTATTTGAAATATCTACTGTCTTGATTTTTTGTATTAGATTTTCCTTGTGTGATTTGTCTTTTATCCGGAAAAACAGCTGACATTTATAGACAGCTGTTCCTTGAACTTAATGATCATGCTACTCGATTGAAAATGAAGTTTGAACCAAAACACGTGATGTCAGATTTTGAGATGTCTTTAACCAAAGTCATCAAAGAAAAAGTTTGTACCTTCTGAATTATAATTTAATTTAATTTTTATTTTTTAGCTTCCAAATGTAATACATCATGGATGCTTTTTCCATTTCACTCAATCTCTCCATAAACACATCAATTCACTTGGTCTTTTTACAGCTTATCTTGAGGATGAAGATTTACGTTTAGCTTGTCGAAGTACAATGGCACTTGCTCTTCTTCCTCCAGATCATCTAGAAGAAGCTTTCGAACTTCTTAAAAATGATTCACCTGAAGAATTGATTGACTTTTTTAAATACTTTCAAAATCAATGGTTAAAATGTGTACCAAAAAATATTGGAATGTATCAAATCTCGAGTTTCGTACAAACAATATTTGCGAAATTAATGCTTTTTTTATTATCCAAAAATATATTTTTTTCTTTCATCTATTACCTGGCATAATAAATTTAACAATCGAGTCGAAAAAGATCATCCCAATGTTTGGCATTTATTCAAGTGTTTACAACGAGAAGAATTATCGTTTCGTCAACAATTATCAAAAGTTAATAGTGGTTTTCAAATCGGATCAAGCCGCAGAACCTGTGGTATTTGAGCACAAATCGATGTATTAAATGAACGACATGAACAAAAACAAATCAACTTGATCGATTTTCTTTATGAATTATCTACACTTGTGGCTAAAAATTCGAAATAAGTACTTTTAATTTCTCGTTATTACAGTCAATTTCTTCATTGTTATTTTACTATCATTTGATGTTGATGCGTTATATTTCTTTACTTTGTTACATTTAATTGAATTTTATTTTCTATTTGATTATGAAGAAAGTTTCTTCTATTTAAATTTTCTTTTTTATTATTGCGAAAAAAATTCGCTCACTCTGCTTTTCGCTGATATGTCCTTTCGCCGATTTGCTTCTTCGCTTAATAGTGTTTTCGCTCAAAATTTCTTTACTCAATTTTCTTTTCGCTGCTTTCATTCGCTGAAAAAACTTCGCTGAAAAGCCTTTCGCCGATTAGCAACCTCCCTCAAATCCCTGTTAACATGTTCTGATGATTTTTTCTATACTCAAAATGAAACATCTATATTTTATGCTACTTCCAACCATATTAATGGAGGAGACTGAATAAATGATCGCACTTAGCATTTCCATTTTCAATCACTTACTACGCTGTATTGAAAAAACAAGATATACCACAAGATATAGCGTAAAAAGTTCTACAATTTGCATAAGATCACTGAATTTATAGTTGCTCTTTTTTTTTCATAATGGGCACAATTTCACGCGACCAATTGTCGAAGAACTTCGAATTTCACTTCTTTTTCTTAACTAACAACACCTGTACAGTTGTATTATGTTATGATGTAGGCGGTGTGTACCTCTAACAAATAGTATCGGAATGCATAAAGAATTATACTTGAATCACGTATCAATGAGTCTATGTTCGGCCATCGATTATGGTCTTCGATATGACTCATTAAGCAAAGAAATAAGAAAAGGAATTTGTCGTACAGCAGCAAATGATTATCTTTCCGGAATCGAAACTTAATCACTAAAATCTTTGTCTATTATGAGAAAAAAAAGAGCAACTATAAATTCAGCGATCTTATGTAAATTGTAGAGCTTTTCACGCTGTATCTTGTGGTATATCTTGTTTTTTTTAATACAGCGTATTAAGTGATTGAAAATGGAAATGCTAAGTGCGATCATTTATTCAGTCTCATCCATTAATATGGTAGGAAGTAGCATAAAATATAGATGTTTCATTTTGAGTATAGAAAAAATCATCAGAACATGCTAATAGGGATTTGGTATTACCATTTTTGTAGAGCTTTTTACGACACATCTTTTGGTAAAAAAATCAAGGTTTTTCTCAAGTATCTAGGCTGAGATATTTGCAACATAAAAAGTTTGCAAACATTTTGCAACACCTGATATAATCAAAGGTGCAAACACTTTTTGATTGTTTGAAATTCAACGCTTTTTAGATTTGAATTATTCAAATAATGGAAGATGAAGTGTGTTTAGGATAAAAAGTAAAAAAGAGTTTTCCCAAATCGTTGCAATACTCATCTATATCCGATCGGAGCGACTTTTCTGACTAATTATAAAGGTATCTTAGACAATAAGTAGCTTTTTGCGAGCCGAAAAAATGTTGTACGAATTTCGATTGTCATTGAATATTTCCTAATGATTTTTCACCTCTCTGTAGATATTTCGAGTGGATCAAGAAAATTCTTGGGAAAAAAATGAATACGGTTGAATTTTATGTAAGAGTGATGGAATTTACTGTGAATGGTTACTACAGGTGCATTCAAACTAGAAGTCGCTACTTGTGAAGTTGATGAAGATCCACTCGAATTTGATAAAGATGCATAATTAGATGGAGACTGTGAATAAACCGGTGTTGATTGACCGAACGCTTCAGACATTACATAGAGTAGAGTAACTAGATCACATTCAGGCTAAACGAAACAACTATTATTGAAATATTAACAACAGATGATTTTACGTGATGCCATGATTTGAGATAAGGTAAAACGACAAGTCCATCTGGATTGACATCACGCGATGTTGTGGAAATATACATATTCGTTGTCGGTTTCACATAAACCAGTGGAGCTACTATAGGGTGATCTTTGTCTAACCAAATTTCAATTGGAATATTGTATCTTGCTCCTTTATATTGAATACTAACTGTTCCCTGTAGGTATAGTAAATCTTTCGAAGTACCGTCATCATAATAGTAAGGTGCAATCTTCAAAACCAGATTAGCAGTGGGCAACTTCATTGTTGTTTTTACATCACGTAAAACTAAATCTCGGTTAACAACCTTAACAATAATAAATTCTAATTAATCTTATTTTTACAAATACTTCAAGTACTCTGGCTCGTTGAATCATGGCTTCCATGTTTGCTTGAGACTGATTCGCCTTAGTATTACCACACGGATTGAGCTGAACAGGAGGAGTGATTGATATTTTGAGTGATTCAATTGAGTCTACGAATAAAAACTTATTGCAGCAATGAAAGGAAGAATAATATTAGGTGATATTTATGAGATGACTGTTATGCAAACAACAGCAGTGAAGAATAGCTAAAGCAACAGATCATCTGAAAGAATTAAATGTGAACCTATGATTTTGTGTTAACGCAGGTGGAAATAAATAAGTAATAAATGAGTATAACACTGCGATGAAAATCATATTTCAATTTTCTTTGCAAATTATTTTCTTTCCAGCTTTCGACAATTTTCCCTTGTCATCATCAGGAAATAGTAACGAAAAAAACAAATAAGATTATATATATGGGGGTGCCCAACTTGACTGATACCCAAAGATAAGAGACAGGAAACAATATTACTCTACGGAAGAATACATCATGAATTTTATACCAAATGAGAGCTCGTCAAAATGGAACTTATTCGTACTAAATAGTAAGGGTTTTGTGAACTTTGTAATGTCGAACTTAAGAAAATTTGAGAAATTTCATACATTAAAAAAGCTGTTAGCGCAATTCCTTGCGGGATTAAAAATGAGAAACACGATGCATCTATTGTTATTAGTTAAATGGAAATCGTTTTGTTCCTTTTCTTTGCGATACATTTGTAAGCTGACCCTTTATCTAATGCTTTAGAACTGCAGTTTCTCTGTCACGGTCTGTGAAGATTCATTAGTTAATTAGATACTAATTAATTAATTAATTAAGATGTCTGTCACGGTCTGTGA